AGATTCCACGAAACCAGATGGGGAAAGTGAACAAGAAGGAGCTTCTGCAGCGCTTCTACCCAGCCTGATTCCTGGCCCTGGGGCCAGGGCTGGGACCCCAGAGGTGCTTGGCCCTGATCCACGTCTGTTCTGCCTCCAAAGAGGTACTGCAGGGATCAGCAGTAGCAGATCTGGACTCGCTGCAGCCTGGTCCATGAATAACATCCAATAAAAGTAGGATTTATTTATCCCACCTGGCCGAGCTGAGCCAGAGCTGCAGAGTTAGGTTTTCCTTGTGTGAGAACCCTTTGCAGGAATCACAGAATCATGGAATAGTTATGGTGGGAAGGGACCTTAAAGTTTACCTCGCTCCAACCCCCTGCCATGGGCAGGGGCACCTTCCATTGGACCAGGTTGCTCCAAGCCTCATCCAACTTGGCCTTAGACACTTCCAGGGATGGGGCAGCCACAGCTTCTCTGGGCAGCCTGTGCCAGGGCCTCACCACCCTCACAGGGAAGAATTTCCCAGCACAAATGAAGAATAAATACAAAATCACACATAGATACTGGCTGTGCTGTCTAACTCAGTACATCTCCCCACACGTTCTCCCAGTGCACCTCATGGGTGTAACCCATCCCACAATGGAGCAGGAAAGGGGGAAGGAGCAGGGATGGCTGCCAGGGACTTGCAGGAACCTCAGTGTGATCAAAGAGCCATGAAACAATAAATAATGTGCAAAGACCCCAGGGAGATGGGGAGGAACAGCGTGACCAGGCCTGGGGTTTGGGCTGTGTCCACAGTGGGGCAAGGGGTGAAAGCCCTGGTGGGCACACGGCAGGCTGAGTTTGGTGGGCACATGGCAGGCTGGGGTGGGGGCAGAGCCAAGAGGGATATCACGGGCACCCAGGAGCAGATGCAGCAGCGTGAGACTGTGTGTGTGAGACACCAGTGCCCACGTCTGAAGGTCATCGATTACCTGGAGGACAGGCACTACTGATAAACCCCACCTTTATATGTGGAATTTTGTCCCTGTTTGACTTCACACAGGAGCTGCCAGCCCTGGGGGACCAATTATGCCAGTGAGGGATGGCAACCATGCCCTGCAGGTTCCCAACCAGTGGGTCCATCCCACTGTACTGGGGAGGCAGCAGGATGCTGGTCCAATCCTGTCCAGGGCCAAGGGGCTGACAGGGAGCGCCAGCTTTCCCCAGCAGCTGGTGGGGCACTGGAAGCAACAGGAAGGGCAAGAGGAACAGAGAGCACAAGTAATTACAGGGATACCTTTGCTAGGGTCAGTAGAGCCCCAAAAACCTAGCAGAACACATCATGAACATGAAGGGGACAGCTTGCAAGTACTGCACATAGGGAGTAGGGATGGGACAGGGACATGACAGCAGATGAGAAAAGGGGAACGGGCTTCCTACTGTGCAGCCCCACCATCCCACTCCACACCATCTGCACAGGGGTCCAGCCACATACCAGCACCCAGCCCACAGTAGCATCTCCCAGGGCCTGACTTTGGTGTTTCAGGCTCAGAAGGAATTGTGATGGGGACACTGGGGACACCGAGAGCTCACCAGCCACCCCTCCCTGTCCCACACCACGAGCTCAGCGCTCCAGCACACGAACACGTGTGGAGCTGAGCACTGGCAGCTCGTCCCAGCCTGCGGGAGGGACCGAGCGGATCCTTTGTTAAAACATCAACGATGCAGTAAATTTTTTAACTTACCAAATAGATCAATATCAAATTATCATGTCTCGCATTCATAACTCTTAAGCAAGCAACAATGGAGAAAGACAAGGTCACTGGAGAATAAATAGCAGCAAAAGCTCTTAATGATCTATCATTCTCGACAACCCCGGGCACCCCGCACCAGCCCCGTGACAAGATCATTAATAAAACTCTGCAGGAACGCTATCGATTGCTTTGATGGATGATCACAGGTAGCAAATACTGTAAAACACCTGGTTGTCACACACAAAATGAGTAGTTTGACTCACACCTCAGCGCAGGGACTCGGCTGTGGCTCTGCTGGATTTGGTCCTCGGTGGTTTCCGCAGGGCGGGTGATCAGTGGTGACCCCCAAGTTTGGGGCTGCCATCCATGCTGGACCCCCATGGTCCCACCTGCACTCCCCCATTGCTGTTCATCCCTATAGATAGAACCTGTTAATGAAAAGCCTCATTAAAGCACCTGGTTATGGTGCCATGGAACCCAGTTTGGGAGCTGAGCCAGATGGAGATGGAGTGGGGTGACTTGGTGCCACTGGATGAACACTGAGACCTCCAGGAACACTGACACAGCGAGGACTCCAGGGAGGGATGGGAGTCTCCAAGGCCATGGGCTCTGCTCCCTCCGTGCTGCCTCCATTAGGGGTGCAGGAGGGGCTATGTCCCCCCCTCCGCTCTAGGCGTTTCACTTGCAAGCCACGTCGGCATTGACGGTCGGATCATATGTACACAACCATTCAATTACCCCGTAATGGCTACAGGCGATTAAGCCATCAATCTCCTTCATTAAGGCCTGCCAGGCCCGGCCCAGCATCGCCCAATAAAACCATTAAAAGAACAACAACAACAACCCATAGCAGCAGCTTTAATGCATGGGCTGTTATGCTGACCCTGTCGACAGCACTGGGGGTGTCCCTGACCTGGGGATGCCTGGGGACTCACCGCAGCGGATATTGCCCTGCAGGGGTGTCTGCCCACCCATCCATGCCCCCCCACTCAGCACACCAGGACCTGCTCTCATGCTTTATAGCTGACATTACCTTTTATTGCCATATGAAATTGAAGCTCTGGTGGCTTTATGGGGCTATGCCAGCGTGTGGCACCTCTGCGCTCCCAGCTGCTCCCTCTGCCCTTGCTGGACACTGCCCTGACCCCCAGTCCCTTGCTGGGGTCATGGTGGGTCCTGCTGCACCCCACTTTAGGAATATCCATGGTCCCAACACACACAGTGGGGGCACAACTGGTCTGAGCACCCACAGCAGTTGCGCTGTTCTGGGCAGGTCAGAGAGTGTCAGATGGGAGGGGGGATTGGGACCCTCCAAAACAGGGTGACCCTGCACAGCAAGGAAGGTCATGGTCCTGGGCCGGTCCCACTTGGGAGACCCCAAGCCACTGCACTCCAGGGGGACCCCCGGTTTTGGGGGGGAGAGGGGCGAGTGGTGTCGGTGCAGGGCCAGCAGTGAGGGGGGCTGCAGTGCCCGCTGTCATGCTGCAACCGGGGACACGCCACGGGCAGCCCTGTCCCCACGAGCGGGTCTGGCGCCTTGTCAAAGCCTGTCACATCTGCTACCCCAGCACCCCCGCGCCGCGGTGCCGGTGGCAGGGAACATCTGCTCGGCTGCCCCGCTGCCACGGTGCGTTAGGGTCAGGGGCAGCCGCCAGGACCCCCGGCCAGCGCCGCCGGGGCGGCTCCTCGCCGTGACACTGATGCGGGGTGACAGGACGGCGGGGCGGACGGATGGGATCGGACAGACGGACGGGCAAGTGAGCGCCGCTGCCCACGCCACGGCCCAGCCAAGCCGCGGGTCACCGGTGCCCGACGCTCACCCGCTCGTGACAAGCCCTTGGAGACACCGACAGCCTTGACACCACCGCTCAGCTCCTGGGTACGGACAGGACACATCCTGTATCCCTCCTCCTGTATCCCTTTTCCCACGCCTTGTTCCCCATCCCCGTGTCGGTGCCCACCACAGGGCACCTGTTCCCGTGGACGGGACGGTGCTGGCCGGGAGTACCTGCAGCTGCCAGGCAGGTACGCGGTGATGCCATCAGTGTCACCGAAAAACCTACTCTCCCTTGCCAGATCCAGGGCTCGGTTACCCGGGAGAGCAAGAGCCCCTCGACCCCTTCGCCTTGCCCGGGGGGTCGCGGTTCTCCATCCCTGCTGCACCGGGACCCCGCGCGGCGGGAGGGGGGCGGTCCTCGGTGAGGCACCTCGAGCGGGGGGACCGCCGATGTCGGGGCTGGTGGCCTGGACGATGCTGCCACCTGGTGCCACGGCACCGCGACAGCACCGGGACCGGCACCGGGGGTCGAGAGAAACACTGGGACCGGCACAAGAGGTCACGGGCGGCACTGGGACCAGCTTGGGGGGGTCGAGGGCGGCACCGGGACCAACCTTGGGGGTCGAAGAAAGCACCAGGACGGGCCCCGACAGTCACAGGCAGCATCGGGACCGGGGTTCGGGGGACAGCATTGGGACCGACAATGGGGGCCGAGAGTCTTGGCGGGACCCTCGGAGCAGCCCTCGGCCGCTCCGCCCTGTGGGAATCCATTTGGACCAGGAGACAGCGGGACGCTGCCGTCCCTCTCCCCACCCAGCACTAGGACCGGCCCCGACGCCAACGAAGACGACACCGGCACCGTCAATGGCCGGGGAGAGGCCGGCGGGCTCCCCCCGACGGGAGGAGCGGCTTAGCTGGGCGGGAAGAATCGCTCCCGATCACTGTTCGTGTCCGTGTCCCTCTCCTTGTTCCTGTCCAGGTTCCTATCCTGTTCAGGTTCCTGTCCCACTACCGGTGCCGGTCCCTATCCATGTCCCGGTGCTGGTCCCTGTCCCGCTGCTGGTGTCTGTTCCTTTCCCAGTGCCGGTACCGGTCCTTCTCCCCCTGCCGATGCCGGTCCCTGTCCCGGCGCCGGAGCAGCCGAGGGGCAGGGGGCCCGGGTCTCTCCCTCCCGCCCGCCCCGTCGCGGCATCCCCGGAGCGCGCCCGGCGCCAGCTGCCGCGTTCCGCCCGCCCTGCCCGGGGCTGCGCACCCCCGGCCCCCCGGGCCCCGCTCTCCCGGCCCGGCCAGGGAGGACCTCCCCCTATCCCCTCCTCGCCCCCCGAATTCCCCCGGCGGGCCCCTCGGCTGGCCGGGCAGGGCAGGGGGTGCGGGCTGCGGGCCGGGGGCGGCGGGGCCAGCTGCCCGCGGGGGGGTCCGGTGCCCGCAGCACATGTGCTGTCACTCAGCCAGTCCCGCCGCTATTTTAGCTCGGGGCCGGCGGCCGGGCTGTGCCCCGCTCCGCCATGGGCCCCCCTCTCCTCCTCGCCTGCCTGCTCGCCCCCCTCTGCGCTCGGGTAAGGGGTGCGGGGAGACCGGGAGGGTGGGGATGGGGTGGGATGGGGTGGGATGGGGACCCCCACTCTGTACCCTGGGAGGGCTGGCCGGGATGGGGAGCCTGGACACGGAGCTAGGGAGTAGCTGGACCCCAAACCCCGCAGAGTCACGTCCCTGGGGGCAGCGGGGATGGGGCTGGGGGTGACGGGGGCTTGGAGCCCCTCTTGAGGCATTTCCCACCCCACAGATGGCCATGGCAGGGGGGGGCCTGCGGCTCCGGCATGCTGCCCGCGCCTGTGAGCCAGGATGGGCTGAGAGCGGGTCTGAGGAAGTGTTAGGCACTCTGATGCATCCTGTTCCCCCTTTTCCCATCCCAACTGAGGTCCCAGACCCCCCCGTACCCCCTTGCCCATGCCCACCCTCCCAGAGCCCCTCCCCACGGTCTCAGGCCTGAGCCACATGGGGCTGTTGGGGTTCTGGCCTGGCCTCTGCACTCGGTACCTCAGGGCAGGGGAAAGCAAGGCAGGGCAGCCCCCACAGCAACAGAGCCCCCATCGCCCCCCTACCTCCCAATCCATCCCCAGTTCCAGCGGTCACCCAGGGAAGGGAGGGAGTCTCTCCTGGGAGGGGAGGACTCACAGAAGCAGCTGGAGACCACAGTGCAGTGCCCATCATAGCCTTGGAACGAGCCCGTTGTCCTGCCCATCCCATGGGGCTGACACGCGGTCCCCGCTCCCCCAATCCCCATCCCCAGGGACCCCCAGCACAGCCATTCCCATAGCCCTGCTCCCCCTCCTCCCCCTCAGGGTGCACAGGAAGTCTCTGGGGCTCCTGGGACACTTCGGCAGCCAGCGGTGAAGGCACAGCTGGGTGCAGATGTGGGTGCAAGGCTGGTGCTGCCCAGATGTGCTCCCTTCCCAGGGAGGCAACAGTGCATGTCCCGTGGGATCAGGATGAGGATGGCACAGAGCTGGAGGGGGTTGGCTGTGTGCACACAGCTCTCCACTCCTACCTCCCTACCTCCTCCCTCCCCACTCCTACCTCCCAGCCCCCATACTCCCTATAGCTTTGGACCCCCATGCCACCCCCCCAATTCCCTGATCCCAGTCCTGCACAGCCTCTAAACCCATCAGCTCCCTGACCCTACTGCAACACCCCCACAACTGTCTCCATCCCTGTCTCCATCCCTTATCTCCCCCCTCACAGCTCCCAGCTCCATCCCAGCCCTCCAGCTCCCTCTGCCCCCCAGCACCCCAGCTTTGTGCTCCAAGACCACCCCAGCAGCCTAAACTGATCCCTGACCCACCTCCACCCTCACTGCCATGTCCATTTGTCACAGTGGTATGGGGGGGCCACAGCAGGTGCTGCCAGCCTGGGGTACCCCCCTCATCCCCTCTGAAGGGGTCCCAGGAGACACAGCCCAACCAGGATCATTTGTGGGGCAGCCTTTCCTGGTGATCCCTGCAGGACACCCATCACCATCCCACCAGGATGTCAGGGGACCACCAACACAATGCTCCTGTGGGAGCTGGGGGGCCCCCATGCTCCCTCAGACCCAACCTCAACCCCATCGGGGGGCCCAGCACTGTGTATCCCCACACCACGTACCCCATCACGGCCCACCCCAGCACCACCTCCCTACCCACTGCCCCGCATTCCACCCCACTCCAGAGGTTTCAGGGTCACCAGCAGCACCGTGTCCCCCCCGCAGGGTGCCAGCCCAGCCCAGCCAGGTGCCGCAGCCCCAGGCACCCCCCAGGCCTGGCAGCAGCATGAGGGTCCACGGCGGGTGAAGAGGGCCTGGGTGATCCCCCCCATCAGCGTCTCAGAGAACCACAAGCGCATCCCCCATCTCCTGGTGCAGGTAGGCGAGCGGCCCCCACCCTCTCCTCCAGGTGTTGGGGTGGGAGGCACCCTGGGCAGGGGGATTGCATTGGAGCAACCCCAGAGGGGAAGAGACCCCCAGCCTGGGACACCCAGACCTGATTTCCTCGGGGCAGATCAAGTCGGACAAGCAGCAGCCCGGGGGGGTGATATACAGCATCAAGGGGCCGGGGGTGGATGAGGAGCCCCTGGGCATTTTCTCCATCGACAAGTTCAGTGGAAAGGTCTTCCTAAATGCCATGCTGGACCGGGAGGAGAACGACCGCTACCGGGTAAGGATAATCCTGAGCACCCATAGACCCTTCCAAGGGGTCCCCAGCCAGACCCCAACCCCCATGCTGTGTGCCCACAGCTGAGAGCCTTTGCCCTTGACCTGGGTGGAGTGACACTGGAGGACCCCACTGACCTGGAGATCATCGTAGTGGACCAGAATGACAACCGGCCGCTCTTCCGGCAGGACGTGTTCACGGGGCATGTGGTGGAGGGGGCTGAGCCAGGTGGGTCCAGTGGGGGAGCTGGGGGGTGAGGGTCTGAGCCAGTCCCAAAACTGGCACCCACCAGGCACTCCTGCGGCTGCAGGGACCTGTGTGATGACGGTGGATGCCACTGATGCCGACGACCCCGACACGGACAACGCAGCACTGCGGTATTCCATCCTGGAGCAGGGCGCTGCCAGCATGTTCAGCATCAATGCCACCACCGGGGAGATCTGCACTGCACAGCCCGGCCTCGACCGCGAGGTAATGGGATGGGGAGCATCTGTGGGGGCACTGGGACTGGGGGCAACCAGGGCCCCCCAGCTGGTGTGAAACCATGAGCAGACCCAGGTGTGGGGACACTGTGGGTGGGCAGCAGCTGTGGGACCTCTGTCCTCCTTGGGGGGCTGGAGGGGCTCAGTACTGGCCCCCTTCATTCCCTACAGACCATGGGGGTGTACAACCTGACGGTGCAGGCAGCTGACATGTCCGGGGATGGGCTCACCACCACTGCCATGGCCGTCATCTACCTGGAGGATATCAATGACAATTCTCCTGAGTTCACCAAGGAGGAGGTAGCAGGCGGGTGGGATATGAGAATGTGCCAGGGAGCCATCCCCTCAAGGGGCTGCAACATCCCAAAGGGACAGACTCCAGCCTCATGCTGCTGTCCCCCAGTTCTCCATGGAGGTGGAGGAGCAGGCAGCCGGTGTGGACGTGGGCAAGGTGTTCGTGCACGACAAGGACCTGGTGGGCTCTCCCAGCTGGCTGGCCAAATACACCATCCTGGAGGGCGACCCTGAGGGCTCCTTCGCCATCCGCACTGACCCCCATACCAACGATGGTGTGATCTCCGTGGTCAAGGTGGGCATGGGGCAGCCAGGGGGCACTGGGGGGGTCTCATGGCTCAGCTGACCCGTAGCCCCTCTCGCAGCCACTGGACCACGAGGTGCGGGACCGCTTTCAGCTGACGGTGTCGGTGCAGAATGAGCAGCCACTGGAGCCCACGGCCCCCCCCAGCCCCAGGGCCCTGGCCACGGTGCGTGTGCGTGTGCGGGATGTCAATGAGGCGCCCATCTTCCGTGAGAACCCGAGGAGGATCAGCGTGTTGGAGGGGACCCCCCCGGGCACCCCTATCACCACCTACACCGCCAGTGACCCCGACACCCACCAGATCCAGACCCTCACGTGAGTCCTGCTCCCGTCCCATTGCCTCCCACACCCACTGTGGGTGTTTCAGGGAGTGATGTCACACCCCCCCTGCAACCACAGCTACGCGCTGCTCTACGACCCTGCGGACTGGCTGCAGCTGGATCCCCACGCCGGCACCGTCCGCACCAAGCGGGAGCTGCTGCACCCCTCGGCCTTCCTGCAGGGCGGCTGGTACATTGCCCTGGTCCTGGCCCGAGACGATGGTGAGCAGCACCCCTGCCACGCCCCCCCGCTCCCATTGCCCGCCCCCCCCGACACCTCTGTTCTGTCCCCCAGCCGAGCCCCCGCTCTCGGCCACCGGCACCCTCTCCATCGAGATCCTGGAGGTGAACGACCACGCACCGCAGCTGCAGACGCCAGCAGGAGTGCTCTGCGGGCGGCCGGGACGCGGAGGGACCCTGCTCCTGGGGGCCACCGACGATGACCGGCCCCCCCATGGAGCCCCCTTCCACTTCCAGCTCAGCCCCCAGCAGCCCCAGCTCGCCCGCAACTGGAGCATCACCCGCTTCAATGGTGAGGAACAGCCGGGTTGGGGGGAAGTTGCATAGGGGGACCCTGCTCACCCTCTACTACCCACTCCCCACGCAGTGACTCACGCGGTGCTGGCCGTGCTGGCGGAGCTGCCCGAGGGGCCCTACTCGCTCCCGCTGCTGCTCCGGGACTCGGGGACTCCCCCGCAGGAGCAGCAGCTGCTGCTGAACGTCTCGGTATGTCACTGTGGCCGGGACGGCACCTGCCAGGACGGGGTCCTGGCTGCCGCCACCGCCGGGGCCGGCATCACCCTCGGGGCCCTCCTGATCATCCTCGGCAGCACTCTCCTCCTCTTTGGTGAGTGAGACCCCCACCCCTCCATCCTGCCCTCCCTGGCACCCTGGGCTCTGTCATGCAATGCTGGCCCTGGCCACCTTCCCGAACCCCACCAGCACATTCGGTCACCTCATCCCCCACTCATCACCCCATCCTGGTCCTGGCCACCCCATGCATATCCTGCCCATGTCCCCCATCACCCCATCCTGGTCCAAAACACCCCAAACTCTCCCTACTCATGTCCCACATCACCCCACCCTGGTCCTGATCACCCCATCCAGTCAGTACCCGTGACCCTCAACACCTCCCCCCAATTTTGACCCTCACCAAAAGACCCCCACTAAAACATTCTGCTCCACCCTCATCCCACGCCATCACTGCCCCCAGTTATCCCTACCTGCATTCCCATCCCACCTCCCAGCCCCACTCAGACAGCATCCCCTCCATGCCCGGCCTCCCATGCCCGCTGTGCCCGCAGTGCTGGTGGCCGTGGGGGCCGTGCGGGTGAGGGGGCGCCGCCGGGCGCTGCGCAAGGGGCTGCTGGAGCGCTCCCAGGACGACATGCGAGACAACATCCTCAACTACGACGAGCAGGGCGGGGGCGAGGAGGACCAGGTGAGCAGGACCCACGGCAGGGGAAGCCCTGGGGGGGTCCCCATCCCAGCCCTGTATCCCTGACCCCCTCCTGGCCCTGCAGGACGCCTACGACATCAACCAGCTCCGGCACCCCGAACTGTTCTCAGCCCGGGCCAAGCCGCCGGTGCGCAGGGACGCCCCACTCAGCTCTGGGACGCCCCTCGCCCCCCGCAAGCTGCCCAACAGCCCCTCTGACATCGAGGACTTCATCAACCAGGTGGGATGGGGCTGAGTGTTCCCCTTGCCCTCAGCCCTCCATCCCTGGCGGGGCAGATAGTGCCCCCCTGTCCCTAGAAACCCCTATCCCCATCCCCCCATCCCTGGCGGGGCTGACAATGCCCCCCTGTCCTCACAGGGGCTGGAGGCAGCTGACAGTGACCCCAGTGTGCCCCCCTATGACACGGCCCTCATCTACGACTACGAGGGCTCGGGCTCTGTTGCCAGCCCCCTCAGCTCCATTGTCTCCAGCCTGACAGATGAGGACCAGGACTACGACTACCTGAGCGAGTGGGGGCCACGCTTCCGCCGCCTGGCCGACCTCTACGGGCACTAGGGGGGATGGGGGGGCAGGAGGGGGGCACCCCCCTGTCCACAGAGGGGCTGGGCCAGGGAAGGGACAGAGAGGGGCTCACACAGACAAGAGATGACCAGATGCAGCAGCTTTGGATATGGACACGAACAAGACACCCACCTGGAGGGGCTTTGCAAGAGGACTCCATGCAGAGGGGTCCACACCTGCATCCCCCCACAGACCCCAGACCAGCAAACCCAGGCAGCCCTGGGGGGTACACCCTGGGGGAGCCCCACAGAGCTGGGGAGGGGGGTGAGAAGACCCCTGGTCATGCCATAATAAAGAGCAGGGGCCAGTGGTGGGGGGTGGTGTGTCCCCCCCACACCAGTGGCCCATAGCCACAAGGCACTTTTGTTGGGAGCCAGCAGCACCCCCTGGGGGGGCATCACCCCCACCCCAGGGCTCCCAGCACCGCTCTTCCTGGGGCAGGATCTGGCCCTGCTGCAGGGAGGGCGTGTTGCTCTCCCGGCCCACCCAGCACACGTCCTAGTGCTCCCTGTTGTCCCCGTGAGCACCCACAGATGGGCGTCCCAGCACTGTGCTCAGCCCCCAGCAGTGGGAAGAACCCCCAGGGATGGGGGGGCACAGCTACATCTCGCGGGGGGTGTCCGGGGAGCCCAGCATCCTCTTGGTGGAGGCAGCGAGGCGGGAGTAGTCGTGGGGGATGCCGTGGGGAGCGAGCAGGGGCACATGGTCCTCGCGGGGGGGCCGGCGGAAGAGGGGGGGCCGGCGCTGGCTCTCGCCGTCCTGCAGGGACTGGGGCAGGTTGCGGCCCTGGCTCTCAGGAAGCAACATGATGCTGAGCACGGCCAGGATGGCGAAGGAGGCGAACACCACATGGTGCAGGAAGAAGCCGCGGCTGTTGGGGATGGCGGTGATGGGCGCTGCCGCCTTGCCCACGAAACTGGCCCCCACGACCAGGCCCAGCCCGGCACCCCTGCGGGGGAGAACACACTCAGAGGGGGCTCTGCCTGGGCAGCACAGGAGGGGAGTGGCTCTTCCCTTACCTGACCACGGTGGGGAGAACCTCACTGGCAAAGAAGATGCTGAGCATGGTGACAGCATGGGAGGCGGCCGTGCCCACCACGGAAAGGGTCAGGACAATGAGCTCCAGCAGATCTGGGAGGGGGTGAAGCACCATCAGGGGTCAAATCCTGCACCCACCCCTCTCAGACACGCAGTTCCCTCCCCAGCTGAGGGCTGCATGCCTGGGGGTCCCCTGAGGGTCCTTACACTGGGTGAGGGCCAGCAGCAGGAGGGAGGAGATGCCTGTGAGGACGGTGCAGAGGAGGAGGATGGCGCGGCGCCCGAAGCGCTCGGCCGTCAGGCACACAAAGAGGCAGGCAGCCACCTCGGTGCCCACCAGCACCAAGTAGGAGGAGAAGAAGTGGGGTAGGTGGGGGGCCAGGTTGCGGGTGAAGCAGTGGCGGATGCCAGAGCCGATGAACCTGTGGGAGAAGTGTCAGGGGGCCACAGGTGAGAGGCCCACCCCAGCAGCACCCCCATGGCACCCCCCTCATGCTCACGCTGCAAAGCCGAGGATGACGCCATTCTTCCAGATGACTCTGGTGCTGAAGATCTCGCAGACAGCGTGGTATCGGGGCTGTGGGGACCTCTCGGACAAGGCCTCCAGCTCTGCTGGGAGAAAGGATCCCAGGATACTGGGCACTGCCCCACCACCCTCAGCACCATAGCTGTGGGGAGGGGTCCCGGTGTTCCATCATCCTTGGAGTCCCACCACGCACCTGTGAGGAGGCTGTCCTGGGGACAATTGTCCTCAGCCAGTGCCTGCAGGGTCTTTCTGGCCCTCTCCAGTTGCTGCGTGGCCAGCAGCCAGCGTGGTGACTCCAGGAGCAGTGCTGGGCACCTGGGGCATGAGTGTCAGGTCACGGAGCTCCTCAGGGGCCTGGCCCCTCCAGCACTGACCCTCCCATCCGGCTTCAAAGCAACACTGCCCAGAAACCCTCAACTTCAAACCTGAGCAAACATTTACCCAGGGTGGAAGGGTTCCCGCTCCCCTGGAGAGTCCCAGGCAGTCTTTGATCCCTGCTGCGGCCCTGGCAGGGTGTGCCCAGCTGCGAACAGCTTGGCACCAGCACCAGGCACAGCCCAGCCCCATGCACCCCCCTGTCCAGGGGGTCCTTACCACCAGCAGGCAGCCATCAGAGCCAGGATCATGGTGACGGCGCCTTGCAGCACCCGCCAGTCCCGGCACAGCAGGGCCAGCCCCGGCAGCAGCAGCTCCCCGGCGATCCAGAAGAATCCGGCCACCATCGTCACCCCCAGCCGGTGGGTGGGCTCACACAGCTCCAGCCCTGGCAGGTGGTGAGGGGTGCACTGTGGGTGCCATTGACACAGGACATCCTGCACCCTGGAGCATCATCCCAGAATATCCTGCATCCCAGTGCATTCTACACCATGCAGCATCCTGCATCCTGGAGCACCCTATACCCTGGAGCATTTTGCACCCCAAAGCATCCTGTACCCCACAGCATCCTGCACCTCAATCCCCACCCCCCCGTGGACCCTCCAGATCACACTCACGTGCCACATAGAGGGCGAGGAAGGCTCCTGCCAGCGCCGCCCCGAAGAGCAGCCGAGCCACCAGGACCATGAGGAAGTTCACAGCCAGTGCCACAGCAAGGCCCACGGGCACTGCCAGCGCCAGGGACAGCAGGAAGGTGGGACGGCGGCCGAACCTTCCAGGGACAGGCTGTGAGTGGGGCTGGGCACGGCGTCCCCTGCCCAGTGGGCCATCCATGCACCCCCTCTTACCTGTCACAGGCCAGGCCAGCGGTGACGCTGCCCAGTGTCCAGCCCAGCAGGTGTGTAGTCTGCTCCAGGGGCACCTTCCAGCGTGAGGCACACACCAGGTCCCACTGTGGGGGGACAGAGTGGGGGCCTGTCAGCATGGGGGGCTCAGTAGACGGCTCTGTTGCTGCTCACAGGGCTGGGAAAGATGGGACAGGGGGGCTTCTGGCCAGCCCCCACCCCACAGCAGAAATGTGGAGATGTGGCAGGATGGTGCTGAAGACCCTTAGAGCCCTCTCCCCTGGACATTCTCCAACCCCTCAGCAACTTTCCTCCAGGGTTCCCCCACCTACCTCCAAACCCCCTTCCATGGTGTCTCCCACCTTCTTCTCCCAGGACCCTTCTCTCTTCCCAGGATCCCTGCTTTCCCCTCCAAGCAAACTCTCTTTCCCCCACATCCCAGGACATCCCCGGTGTTCTCCCTGCACATCCACGGCTTTCCCGTGGGATCCTTACGGGGGTTCCCAACTTGCTCCAGGGGCTGGGACCGCCAGCTTGTTCCCTCCAAACTCCCTCTACAGCCTCCCGCCCCACCCCACCCTCCTTAACCCCTCCTGTACGATGGGACCCCCACCCCCGGGTCCCCTTAAACTCCTCCGAAAGCCCCCCCGCCCCTGTCCCCCACCTGCGTGACGAGGTTGGCGCGGAGGCCGGCGGCGGGCAGGGCGTAGTGCCATCCGCGGGTGCAGGGCCCGGTGCCGTTGGGGCGGGGGGTGCCGGGGGTGCCGGGGGGGTAGCGGTACAGCTGGCAGGGGCTCCAGCCGCCGCGGAGACGCGGGACGGCGGCGCGGAGCAGCGCGGGGCCCCCGAGCCGGCGGAGCGGCGGCGGCAGCAGCGCGGCGTCGGGGCGGCAGCGGTGCGGGGGCTCCGCGCCCAGCGCCCACCCCAGCGCCCACCCGAGCGCCAGCGCCGCGCACGGCGCCCACCCCCCCGCCGCCCGCCGGCCCCGCGGCCGCGACCCCCCGAGCGCCATCGCCGCGATCGCGCCCACGCTCGGCGAGGGCAGGTGGGGGTGGCACCGGGCGGACCCGCCCCGCGGCACCGCCCCGACCGGGCCCACCCCCGGCTCTGACACCCCCACCCGCTTTCCCAGCACCGGTTCAAGCCCCCCCAGGCTCGGTTCATCAGGCCCAAAGCCTGGTTCGCACCCCCCAAACATGGGGATCAGACCTGGTTTGCACCCCTCGCCCAAGCCCGGTTTGTCTCCCCAGCCCGGTTCACACAGCCCAATTCCGGTTCAGCCGCCCCCCAACCCGGTTCGCCCCCTCAGTCCCAGTTTGCCCTCCCACCAAGCCCGGTTCACACACCCCACTCGCGGTTCGTGCCCCGCAATACCGGGTTCAGCCCCCTCAGCTCCGGCTCAGTTCGCCACCCCAAACCCAGTTTGTCCAGCCCCGATTTAATCACCCCCTCAGCCTCTCTTCGCCCTCTCGTCAGCCCATTTCAGTCCTCCCAGCCCCAGTTTCCTCTCCCAACACGGGGTTCAATCCCCCCAGCCCCGGTCTCGCCCCAGCCCAGTTTATCCCCCTCCCAAGCCTGGAATGCGGTTTAGCTCCCTAAAGCCCCTTCACTCCTCAACCCCGGCTCAGCTCCCTCAATCCAATTTGCCCTCCTCCTCCCACTTTTTGCCCTCCCGCCAGCCCCAGTTCACCCCCCAGCCCCAGGTCAGCCCCCCCTTCCTCCACGGTGCTCCAAACCAAGGCACCCTCTCGGCACTGGGACAAGCCCGGACCAGCCGGTGTTGGGGGCGCTGGGGTGCAGCTGGGAGTGCCAGGGCACATCTGTGAACACAGACAAACGCACCAGGTCCCCCTAAACCTCAAAGGGGGCCAGTGGGATCTGTGACCCTCCCCCAGGAAGAGAACCGGTGGGCACCCAGCGCCACATTACCTTGTGGGAAGAGCCAACGGAGCAGCCGAGCTGGAAACAGAGATTTATTCCCCCTCTTCTTTTTAAAATTTATTCACAGACGTGATTTCTGGGGGCAGCAGCATGGCTCGGGCGCTCAGCTCTGGACCTGCAACGGTGGAAAAGATTCCATCTGCAAAATCACATAAAAAGTCACATTGAAAATCACATTCAAAAATCACACCTACAAAGTCACACTGAAAAATCACATTAAATAAAAAAAAAAAATCACATCTGCATTTCTTTGCCTCCCTCCACGGGATCTGCACCCATAGACCCAGCTGGGAGGAACAGTGCCAGGAGGAAAACTGACCCTGGAGACTCCCAAGGCCATCAGTAACGTGGTCAGATGAGCCCACAGGACTTTCCGGCTTCACACACTGATAGAAGGCCTCTCCTGTGCCTACACAGATGAATTTTATTTAACAAAATAAAGAGCAGGGCTGGAAATTAATTAAATAATGTATTTGTGGCTGCTTTCTTGAAGCCCCTGAACACAGAAGCAGCCCCCAGTCCCAGGGCACTAGTTGCCCACACTGATCCCACAGCTCAGGGCAAGGATGGGGGGAAAAATCCCTCTGGATGCAGGTGGGACATGGCACACCTGTCCTGCTACAGCTGCAGTAGCTGATCCCGCTGTAGTGATCCCTGGTCCTGGTGCCAGTAGTGCCAAAGCAGGAGCTGGGGGTTGGCCAGGGAAAGGTGGGACACCCCCCTCACCCCCCTGCCGAGACACGTTGGA